ACTGTCGCATGATCATGGCCTTCTCATTTTGTCATTTTTACCTATGTACTTCCAAAGGACGCTGAGCCTGGTTCTCAACACACAAGATGTATCCATGGGAAAAAAAAAAAAAAGAGAGTATGGTTGTGTGATCGTACCGGATTTGGTAGTGGCGCAGTACCTAACGGTGCGGTAGAATCCCAACGGAAACATAATGCCAACCAGCAGCTCCCAGACACAGAGAGCCAGGAAGGCAAACATGGAATAGTCATCCACGGCGGTAATTCAGCACACCAAGTAAGTATGCTCCACCTCCTCGCCACTTAGACCTACCCCGACACTCATTCTCACCTAATTTAGGGTCTGACTCGGAACATGAGGGGATTGCAACTACAGTGACTTCTACAGTAACTGACCTGTAGCAGCCATCACCAAGAAAATACGTGGAATGTTCACAAAAAACAGCAAGAAGGTCCAGCACGCAGGGCTAGGGGCAGAAAACACTTCACTTGGGTATTCACGGTGCTTCTCCCCGCCAATCTTTGGTCTCCTGCAGGTACATAGATCGCTTCCCAACCTTGATTTAGCACCTTTTTCCTTCTTCTTGGCATCAACAGTCAAAACCCGATGCTTTTCTCGCCCACTGACCTTATGCTTTGCTGGCTTTTCTTCCACTACCACAGTGCAGCGGGTTCAAGCTCTGATACCAGTGCAATGAACCTCGCAAGATTCAACTCAAAATACATGCAAATTGAGAGCAATCAGATGGAAGTTACATAAACTTGAGCGAAATCTATGAACAGTGCAAATTCGAAGTTCGACTCAAAGTACAATAATATACATTTGAAAAAGTTCGAGAATAAGCGTTCAGCCACTGTAACATGCCCCAGTTATGTACCCAACTTCCTCCTCCTTCGTCTGCTTCTCTCTCTCTCTCTCTCTCTCTCTCTCTCTCTCTCTCTCTCTTGCACTGTTGCTCTCTCGACATCCTAGATCTACCCTGGATGCTACTACGGTGTGTCGTGCTGATCTTGGGTGGCAATGGCCACCGGGGAACCTCTCCCTTCGCGCCTGGCTATGGTTGACTGTAGCAGCCAGGCGCTGCACACTTCTCCCCCTTGCGCTCCTCCTTTGTCCAGGTCGCTTGATCGCACAAGCTCTCGCAACGCTTCCACAATTCTGCGAAATGAACTACCGAATGCCTTTCAGCAGTGTAGCCCTATATTGTCACATAATATATAGTTGCAGTGGGCTGTTCGTGCCTGCTTCAATCGGTACCAGCCTCCTGCGGCCTCTGCCTTTGCCATATTGCCATTTTGGAAGTTCTGCTTCGTTGGGAGGCTGCTGCAAAATTGAACTTCAGGAACTTGATGTGCTTGCAGGTACTATAGCTACCTACCTATGACCTCATCCTACAGACCCGAGGCCTACCTTGCCAGTACTGTAGCCTGCCAGATTAATTGGGACCAGGACCTTTGGGGACTGACTATGTGAAATCCTTTCACTGATATTGTAAGGCGGGCTTCCTTATGTCCTTGTACTTAGTACTATTAACTATCAGGGTAGAGAGGCGGGCTTCCTTATGTCCTTGTACTTAGTACTATTAACTATCAGGGTAGAGAGTAACTGCAATGAACCCTTAGTACTATTAACTATCAGGGTAGAGAGTAACTGCAGTGAACCCAAGTCGTGAATACGAATGTTGACAATGTAAGTCCAGATTCTCGAGCCGCTGATAGTTCCAATAATCAAACAGTATCCAGAAAGAGAGAGAGAGGTGAGATAATCATACACAGACGAAGAGGAAGGAGGGAGGAGAGACAAGGGAGAGGAAATCACAATGCCCACTCCTTCTCCGGGCTCCTTCCTTTATCACCACCTACAGTAACCAGTAATCTGAACACATATCGAAG